CAGCCCCGCTCACACTGCACTTCCAGGTACATGGCTCGCGAGTCCTGCCCGATGGTGTTGCTGGCCGTGCACACGTACTCGCCCGCGTCCGTGTACTGGATGTCCTTGAGGGTGAGCGAGGACACGCGGGCGTGGCTGCGCACGATGATCCGCCCGTCCAGGGTCTGCGGGGACATTGTCACTGTCACTGTCACTGTCACTGTCACTGTCACTGTCACTGTCACCGCCCGGCCCAGCGGGGACACCGAGCCTGCCCCCCCGCCTGCCCCGTGGCACTCACAGGGTTAAACACCCCCGGCACCCACAGCCCACTCACAGCGCTCAAAAGGCACCCCAAAAAAAGGAAAAACGCAAAAAAGAAGGACCAAAGTGGCAGCTTTGAAAAGGAAAAATGCAAAAAAGAAGGACCAAACACATTTCCTGTGTTTGAGAGAAACGGGACAGGGAAGGTTCTCCTCAGAATGGGAACTGCACAGATCCAGCTCTGGTTAAAGAGTTTTGCTAGCATGCAAAGAGAAAACAAAAAAAAAAAAAAAAAGAAAACTTCCCCAACAGCTTCCAGACACAGAATGGAGCCCTCCCTGCTCTCTCAGTGATATCTCAGGGATGGGAGAAGGAAGAACAGATCCAGAGCTCAAGGMTGAATGGGACAAAAGGAAAGCTCAGAACTTTCACCTGAATGTGGCACACCAAGAGAGGAAAGCGCAGTGAGAAGGGTAAGGAAACTTCCAGAGACAGCCCTGCCTCAAGAAAATTCTAGAAGCATTTCCCACCTGCAAGAGAGTGTGGGGATGCCACTGGCAGAGAGATGAGCAATGAAATCCAAAGGGATTGCCCAGGGACTGCACCCACCCAGCCTGGGCAGAATTCCCAAAGYCTGAGTGCTCCCCTAAGCCACAAAACACAAATCCACGGACTCCTCTCTGCACCCCGGAGCTCCACAGAGCCAGCTCTCTCCTCTGATTCCCGATTTKGTGGCACAAACACAGGGAATAAAGCTGGCACCCCGATGCTGCTGCATCCTGCCCCCTCCATCCCTCCCCTGGAAGGTGCAGGACAAGTGCTGATAACGGAGTAAAAGCCAAAACTCCAGATTTTGGTGAATATTCTCAGTCCTGTGACCTCACCAGGAGAGGATAAGCGACAAAACACCAAKGTAGGATCATCACAGGGGGTTTTATACCCAAATTCTCCTGCCTTTCTGCCCACTCCCTCAAAGAAGTGCCAGGAAATCCTGGTCAGCGATGGTTTCATGAGAAATGCAACTGATTCTGGAGATGAAACTGTTTCTTAATGCAAAAAGGCACAAGGAAAAAGAGAGATCAGGAARAATAAAGAGAGAAAAACCTCCACCCAGGAGAGTACACGATGAGTTTTCCCTCTCCCTGCTCCAACCCATGGGGTGCTGTGGCTGCTGGAGACAGGACGGGCAGGAATTTGGGAGGCAGATGCTGCCACTGATCCCTGAAAATCGCTGATGCCAAAGCTCTGGGCTGACAAAAGGCACCCTGGGTGAGTCAGGAACAGGGGCAGAGTCACGGCCCAGGACAGAGTGGGATATTCTCTGTATTGCAATGACTGCAGCACATCCTCAGGCAGTGCAGGTTTTGCCCCAAACCCTGGGCACAGCCACTGTGGGCACAGCCAGCCCAGAGCTCAGCACCTCAGAGCCAAAAGAGAAACAAATAAAATGCATTTACCCCCTTCCCTTCACCCTGAGGAGCTGCCAGCCCTTTTCCAAACAAGCACCCATCAGTAATTCCACACAGCCCTGTCTTCTCCTCGTCTTCATCCCACATCATCCCCAAAACCCCCGAAAATCCTGACCACAGGAGGAAGATGAGGGGTCTCTCCTGCTCTGTGCCTGCAGTGTTTATATCTGTATTTAACCCTCAATATTCCTAAGGCTGCACCAATTCCCAGCTGCCAGAGAGGCGTCACCAGTTTGGGGTGGGACTGAGAGTCCCCAGAGGTGCTGCCGGGGCTGATTTCACCTCCTCACCCCAAATTCCTGCAGTAAAAGTGAAATACTTAATGCCAAACATTCCCTGACCTTCCCCAGACCCAAATCCTGCTGCTGGAATCCACTGCTAGAAGCCCTCAAGCAACTTCAAAGCAATTTTGAAGCGATTTGTAAAGAGATATCCTGCACCCCACTCAGGTATTTTGAGACAGACACAGAGGCAGTGAGAAATTTAGAGGCAGCAAACTTAATAGTATTAGTGCTCAAATTAATCAAAAGCTGGAGAGACAGAGTCCAGAGAAAAAAAAAAATTAAAAAATCTGAGAAAACCCTGGGGGCAGGGAGGGGACAGCTGGACAGGAATTCCTGTGAGTCCTGCAGAGATGCAACCACTCCAATTCCAAATTCTTCAGTGCAAACTGCTCTGAATATCGATGCCTTCACCTGCCACAATCCAACAGATTATTCTGAAGGAAGAATGGGCAGGATCTGCTCAGCCCCACATGAAACACAGCTGGGTGGTGCTCAAGTTACAGCTTCACTTTGTGCAGCCTCTGTGATTTAAGACGGCTTAAAAATAATTTAAAGAATCAGAGCCTCCACGAAGTTGATCCTAAAAATACAAATCCAAGTCACCCAGCTCTGACAGCTCATTCTGTCCTCCACCTGACCCCTGTTATTTGCTTGGGAACTTTCCTTCTGCTCCATTTTGAAGCGAGAACGCTACAAATCAGGTGCATCATTATTATTATTATTATTGTTATTATTATTGTTATTATTATTGTTATTATTATTATTACTATTATTACAGCACAGCACTGAATGTGAAATAAAATCAAACCCCATTTGCACCACCCCCAGTCACTGCATTATCCCACCCTCCCCTCGCTGACCCTCGCAGATCAAAGACAAAGAAATAGAAAGAATTGAGCAATTTGGAGCATTTTCTGGAGAAATGCCCCTCAGTGAAAGGTTTCTCTGCATTGGAAATGGAACATGATGCAGTTGTCCTTTAAAGAGAAGGTCAAACTGAAGGAGTGCCATGAGCAAGGTGAGGTGAGTTGGCTGGAGCAGAGGAGGCTTTCTCGGGGAAAAAATCACTTTCCCAAAATACAGGTTGGTGCTAATTCTTCCCTCTCTGAAAGAGAGGATGATTCACAGTGGCAGCACAGAAAGAACGGTGAGAGCAGCATTTTACATTTGCTTTTGATTTTAATTGTCTTTTTTTTTTTTCCTTTTAAGTGACAAGCAGAGTTCCTCACTCCCAACACAGCTACTTTGCTCATCCAAAAAACGCATCACTGCATGCCAAGCAACTTCTACCTCTAGAAGCTGTTTTCTTTTATGAATTGGCATTTAACTGGGTCAGATTAATGCTCGTTTAGTCGGTTACTGGACTAGAGATTTGTTAATCCGTGATGCTTAGGAGAGAAACCAAAAACCAACAACCTAAGGAGTTTGCTAAAGGTCTGATCTTATACCTCTTGTTTCTCGGGCCGGGTCCACGAAGCCTGGAGAGAACAGATATAGAACACAACAACAACGACAGGAAAAAAAGCAATAAAAGTTTATCAAAGGTTGCTTTCAGGTACCAGGGTTTGCAGCACGTTGAGYTGTGTGTGCACATGCAGGCTCCAAGCTGTCCACCTCCTGTGTGTGGGGGGATCACACCTTCCCTTTCCCATCCTTTCAGTGGCATTTGCCATTTCAGAGCCTCTGAATGGTCTGTAAAGGACTGAGCAAAGGCTGATGGCACCTGGACACTGATTGGGGGTTGTTTCCTTGGTCACATCTCACATTTTCTGCACGCCTGGTGCTGGGGACAGGGCTCTGAATGGCAGAGTGCAGAGCTTTCCCTGCCACCCCACTCTGGTTCGTTAACACTGYCTCATTAACGTGCCCATCATGCATTTGGAGCCCTGCTTCCATGCACGCTGTGCCAGAGGAGGAGCAGAGGGACAGCACCCACAGCTCCAGCAGTCCCTCCCGGGCTGGGCACAGCCCCACAGCAGTGGAACATGCACAAACCTCACAGCAAAGTGAATATTTCCCACTCAGAGAAAGCCACCAGCAGCGTGGAGCACATTCACTGTGGCTCACAAAGAGCCAGCTCGCTGGGCTCTGCTCCCCACTATAATTTATATTTCAACTATCTCCTGCTATTTCAACCGATCCCCTTCAGTCCAGGAGTCAAAATTCACCTGCTAAAATGAGA